TGCACTGTTTGACACTATTTGGACAATGTTTGGACACTATTTGGCACTGTTTGACACTGTTTGGAACTGTTTTGACGTAGATAATTTGCCAAATAAGGAAAGGTTTGAAAGTGGAACTTAATTTTGGAACTGCCCGAAAAGGAAAGGTGGAACTTGTTTTTGAATCGGAGGGAGTATATGTTTTTATGGATCAATATTTCACAACACTCAATTATTATATTGGATGGTTTGAGACGCAAAATGTCATCAACAATAAATTTGATGCTTTTAAAATACAAATTCCATAATGATGAGCTTACACATTTCTTTATGCATATAAACTCTGAAGAGCTGGGTGGCTAAAGTCCATCAAACCTGCTCATATAACTTTATAAGTATATATACTAAGAATTTTCTTCACCTCATATTTTATAAATTTGGTACATACATGTTTGAATATAATGAGTTTTTATGTTTTACGTGAAACGATGATCTGATCTTGAAGACCTACTGCCAGAGGCGGACCCTTCACGGGGTCTCTGGACCCGTACACCTGGAAAAAAATACCTATATACTTCCTCCGTTCTTTTTAGTTGCAACGGTCAACATTTCACACTTGCCAACACACATCTTTGACCGTAATTATATCCTAATCCCTATTAGTAAAAAATATTTAAAAATTAGATTTTGAAAATTTGTAATAAGATGAATTGAACAATATAATTTTAAAAAAATTATTTTCATAAAATAATAATATAAAATGTAGTCAAAGTAAAACATGTGAATAGTGTAAAATTCAACATGTTGCGAATAAAAAGAGACGGAGGATAGTATATTATATATATTATATAAAATTAATTATTCAATGTATATGTAAACAAAAAATTACCTTAGTACCAAAAGAACGGAGTAGGGGAATGGTAGGTTAGCGCGCGGGATTAGAGGTTTCTGAGTTTGTGGAGGTACCATGTTTGAATTCCCTAGGCTTCTTTTTTGTTTTCCAAAGCTTTTTTAACTAAATAGACCAAAACTACGTCGTTTTGACCTTTTTTTATCACTGCCAATCCTTAAACGCGATTACACAGAGGCAGGGCACTCAATCTTTTTTTTGGTACTATTAGTGATAATTCTATTATAGAATACTTCCAACAAATGAAGCCTAAGAGCGTACATCTGTAGAATCGTTGAATGGTTTTTATATGTAATTCATTGCCTTATAAAAGCTTAATGTTTTGATGGTGTACGTTAACTTTGAAGTGTTATGCTTTTTTAGTATTTTTTTATTAGTTTTATATTAATTAGAGATTAGAGATATAAAAGGGTAGGGACCACGTGGCTCCGACTTTCTGGGTCCGCCACTGCCTACTGCTATTGTTTTATGTTAGCTAAGTTTTGTCCCAAAAGAGTTTTCTTGACCAACAGGTTTAACAAGATATTTTGTGTTTTTCTAAAGATTGAGAACATAGCATTGGGAAACTAATATCCTCTAGAAGAGTGATTTTAGCATCATTTAGAATATAATGCCGTGAATGTCTTAATTTTCCTTGTGAGATGGAACAATTGATCCGGAAAACTAAATGCACTTGTACTATTTTTCTTTCACCAGGTTTTGTCTCATAAAGGTTTTCTTGGTCCAATGTTTTATTGAGGCATTCATTTATTTTAAAACAAGAAAAGGATTATTATTAAAAATGGAGGGGATTTACATAGTTTGATTGTGAAGGGCGCCGATTGGGCCCATAAAGAAAAGAAAATAAAGTGTGGCCAAAAAGGGGGCCTACTAGAGTAAAAGTGTTATCGGTCCAAATAAGGGGATATATTCTCGAACATAATACTTCTAATCTCATTTGAAAACTAATTATGGAGGAAAGAGATAACTAAGATTAAATAATAGCCATCTGATTCAATTAATCAAAGGTTGGATCTTATTCTTTTTTCTCTCCTAGAGCTCCTTTCTCACAGGAACCAGTCCCTATATATATATATATATATATATATATATATATATATATAGGGGGGAGATCCCATGCAAACCCCTCTTCCGGTGCAAACTACAAACTAATTAGCACTGTCCATTGACATTAGATAGATGGCTATCCGTATGGCTTCCACGATAATACTCCTGGGTTGAGAAGCTGCCAATTAAAAGCCCACTACTGTATTACATTTAGTTACAGGGCTACTAATGTAATCTTAACTTCCCTTCTCCTAGACTTACGTGAACTAACTTCCCACTAATTAAAATAACCATCCAAATAAAGCCAACTTATTCAAGGTAAGTGGCAGACAAAGAGAATCCATGGATTAATGCTAGACGTAAATTGAAAAATAACATACCTTTCTTTAATTGATAATTAATGATCGAATTGACAAAATGAATTTCTTAATTCCCACAATCTGTCGATCCATTCTAACCTTTTATTTTCAAAATCTAGCTTCCATTTTTTAGTATGAATTATATCGCACTGCATATTAAGATTACGGAATGTGCATCATATAATCATAATGTCTGCATAAGTTACTTTAGAAGTTCATATTGATAAAATATCTCTATGTTGGATTTTAGAAGATCATATATTGCATTGTAGAAAATTGACACGTGGAGTTTAGAAATTCATATGATGCATCTTATTGTTACATCATTTGCATCACATACTCAACTAACATGCATATGAGTGGTCAAGATACGTGTGAACCACACATAAAGGTTACGAGATGTGCATTTTATTATTACCATGTCTGCATATGATAATATGTGTGAAATAAACTTCTTTTATTTAAAAAATTAATCATTTCATAATTATAATGTCTGCATAGTAGTGATGCACATGTTGCACTTTTAGTCACATTATCTATGTTTCATATTGAGCTAATTAAATTATTACCTTGCACTTTGGAAGTCTATATGTTGCATTTTATCATTATGATTGTGCATTCATTGTATAATCATTTTTGAAGTTCAAATTTTGCATTTTATCATTATTACATGTGCATTTTTCAGAATTCATATATATTGCATTTTAGTAAGATGACACATACATCTTAGGAGACCATATGTTGCATCTTATAGTTATGAAATGTGCATTTATTCTATAATCATTTCTGAAGTTCATATGTTGCATTTTATCATTGTCACATGTGCATTTTAGAAGTTCACATATATTGCATTTCAGTGAGATGACATGTGCACCTTAGGAGACCATATGCTGCATCTTATCATTATGACATCTGCATTCTAAACTCAATTGACATGCATACGAGAATCATCAGATTTAGATGACATGATGCAAAATATATGAGAAGAATGTTCTAAATGACAAAAATATTACTATAATTTACATACTAAAGCTATAAGAACTTCGCATAAACATGAAATTGTGTTGATTGATATGAAACATTTTTGCATACTTAAACGACAAAAAAGTTCGGATACTAAAATCGCAAGAACTTTACATAAACACATAACTGATGAATTGAGATACGAAAACAAATATCAAAAACAAAAAATTAAAAAATTCTGGTATGCCCTACACAACAGATTCCATGGAGATGTCGGAATCCATGGAGTTTGAGAACTAATGTTCTCCCTGTGTGTGCTGGAATCTATGGCGTTTGAATAGAAGAACACTAATCAAATTCTATTAAATTTGAGATGGAGAAGGAGATGGAAATATGGAGATGTGGATGAAGAGAAGCTTTGATATCTAGAGTAATTGCATATTGATGGACGATGAACTTGGTAGGAGAGAGGGAAGGAATCAATTATCATTCGGGTAGGAAAAGGTAACGTGAGATTTTTTCCAAAAATAAAATAAACTAAGAAGACTAATAAACCCCTAACTGTATGATCTAATCTAGATGAAGTACATGGCTCATTCATTAAAATAGATGGTTAGGATTAAGTTTGTAGGTTAGCATATTAAGATGGGTTTGCATTTGATCTCTCATCTATATATATATATATATATATATATATATATATTTGGGTTCTAATAAGAAGACCTCTTATTGTAGGAAGTGAGAATTAATCACATCCGTCCATTAAGATAGGATCTCTCGTATATTTAGAATTAAATCTGCTTTAATAGAAAGGGTATAATAGTATTCTATTCCATGCAGTTATTTAGGGAACGGTTCATACGTGTTCCACTACATTAATTTATAGATTTTTTTATTTACGTAGAAGGAAACGTCCATTTTCTTCTCCACTAATTCAGCATGGTTTTCAATCCCTTTCATTGACGGACATTCATTCTCTCCTAAACCATCTTCTTCATCATTCTCGATTTTATGCTTCAGACATGGAATTTGGTACGTATCTCGTTTTTATGGACCACGAAAAAAACATGCACTTCTGTATACTATGTATGCTATTGTATCTAACTGTAAGAATTTGTAGGTGAATCAAGTTACTGTCAAGTATCTCCGGGGTTGACTAAATACTGGATTCCCGAGTGCACTGATGAATGTAAACCCGTCGTTGGCATGAAATTCAAATCATTGGAAGATGGATTTGAATTCTACAAACAATATGCATCATTATGCGGATTTAGTATTCGTTACTCGTCATCCAATAGAGACAAAAGAGGCTTTTTAGTGCTGAAGTACGTTGTGTGTAACCGTGAAGGATTTAAACCCAAGAAAAATACTGCTAATGAAGTCAGTTTGCCGACGGAGCCAAATATGTCAAATGCAATGAACAGTGTGGCTATTGATCCTGAATGTAATGAATGCATGGAAGAACCTTCTTGTGGTGAGGCTTCAAACAAAAAATCAGATGAAATTAGTGCAAAGAAAAGAAAACGAGTTTCTGCAAGAAATGGTTGTAGAGCATGCATTGTTTTTAAATATAGTGGTTATGGTTGTTTTTCAATCTTCAAGTTTGAAGAACGTCATACTCATCGTATGTCCTCTGAGATTCATAAGCAATTTCTGAAGGTGAACCGGAGTCTTGATTTTGGGCATATGAAATTTGTTATGAATTGTGCGAAAGCAAATATTGGCCCGAAAAAGTCATACCGGTTGTATAAAGAGTCTGTTGGTGCATATAGTCATATTGGTGCCACAGCAGTCGATTTTAAAAACTTCAAAAGAAATCTAAAGGCCTATGTTGAAGGCGTGGATGCACAAATGTTGATTGATAAACTATTTCGCAAGGTTGAAGTGTGTTCTTCTTTTTTCTTCGACTACGATGTTGATGAAAGCGATCAATTGACAAGAATTTTCTGGGCAGATCCAACATGTAGGAAGAATTATTCTTATTTTGGTGATGTTGTATCATTTGATGCCACATATGGCACGAACAGGTATAACAGCTACAATGCACGTAATATCTATACTCATGCACTTTTATAAATAAATAATGCATATTAAATTACATTTCAGGTACAGTTTGGTCTTCGTGCCCTTCACCGGGGTAGACAATCATAAGAAGTGCATTACCTTTGCGGCTGGTCTATTAGCAAAAGAGGACGTAGAGTCATATGTTTGGCTTTTGACTCGTTTTATCAAGGCAATGGGTCGTCAACCGGCTTGCGTTATAACTGATCAAGATCCGTCTATGCGTATAGCTATTGAGAAGGTACTTCCTGAATCTCGACATCGGTATTGCATGTGGCACATAATGGAAAAGGTAACAAAAAAGGTTGGCCCTGTGCTTAGTAAGAATGTTGATTTCATGTCAAGACTTAATGGTGTTGTGTGGAGTCGCTATCTTGAAACAGTAGCATTTGAGGATAAATGGCAATCTGTTATGGAAGATTTTGACCTCATGAATCATGAATGGTTTTCTCAACTATTTGAGCTAAGGCAATTCTGGATTCCTTCCTATTTTAGGGATATTTTCATGGCCGGTTTGCTTCGGACTACTTCACGGTCTGAAAGCGAAAATAACTTTTTTCGTGAATTCTCAAACCCACACTTTAGTCTCATTGAATTTTATATGCAATTTGAAAGTGCAATGGATGCCCAACGTCACAAACAAGATAAACTAAATTCTGATTCAGAATGTTACATCCCTGTTTTCAAGACTCCATTACTCATTGAAAAACATGCTTCAGAGGTATACTCCCTATCAATTTTTTATGATGTACAAACTGAAATTGCTTCAGCTTGTTTTGGGTGTCGTGTCATTAGCGTCCATGAAAAAAGTGGGATATTGGAGTATGTTATTACTGATGATCGTGACCTGACATTCACTGTGCAACGGAATGCAAATGATGTCGAAGTTAATTGTACTTGCAAACATTTCTTGCGGATGGGGTTAGTTTGTAGGCACATGTTTGTCGTTTTGAAAGACCTTAAATTGGACCGTATACCTGAACAATATGTTTGTAACCGTTGGAGTAAAAAGGAGTTCTTACATCCATTATTTGATATTGCCGACATGGGTGCGGATGCATCAAATGGGTCTCAAGAAACAAGTAATGTATTGAAAGAGGTGTGGGCTGATTTTCACACCTGTGTTGCTTTGGCAGAAAAACACACAGAAAGAATGAAGAGTTTTGCAGAATTTCTTAAACAACAAAAGGAAATACTTTTATTAGCTGATCAAGGTGATGCTAGTCCTACAACAAATGAAGGCATGATTGCATCTTTTTACGGATCTGTTGCACCTTCAGTTGTCAAAGTATTACCACCTCAACAAGCAAAGAATAAGGGATCCGGAAAGAGAATCAAAGGGGCAAAGGAGTTGTCAATGGAAGAAAAAAAACGACCAAAAAGATTGTGTAGATCATGCAATGAAATGTGTAACCATGATAGTAGAAATTGTCCTTTGAATAAACAAGTTTAAATCAATTCTAGATGCACTTGTATTTTTTGGCTAAATTTCGGATACTATTTTGTGTTGTTATAAATATGTCAAGTGTTTATTCATGTTTTCACATTTGTTTAATTTGAAAATATGTGTCCATTTAGTTTAATTTAATTTTATATAATATAATAATTACTTAATAGCAGTGCACAATGTAAACGCATCACAATATTATAATCTACCTCGTAAACCTGTCACTGAAATTTAAAAATTACCATCTCAACTGCATTGTAAAAAAAACCTTTCCTATTTCAGGGGTGTCTAAAGGTTCTGTGTGTTCTGATTTATTTGTTTTGTATTACGAGTGCACGAACTGAAATTAATTGTGCAGTATAACACAACGTTGTTGCATAAACCGACACAACTTATAATACAAGTAACTATCCTGATTCTATTAAACCATGCTAATCTACATTGCAAATCTCTCCCTCAAATTGAAATTTTACAATCTCAACTTCATTGTATTCAAAAGAGTTCAAATTCCAAAAAAGTGAAAAGGTTGTTTCTTTCTCGTTTCTTTCTTTCTCATTTACGTAGTATTTCTTATATTGTATTACTTGTGCACGACCTATACCAAATTGTGCAGTATAACAACTCGTTTCAGCATATGTTTCACGTGCTTATAATACCCAAAAAACTACCAACAATAGCAAACTAACAGTAATCCAAAAACAATGTAAGTCAAAAAGAACCACAACCACAAAATTTAAGTCATTCAAAACAACGAAAAATTAAATATTGTTTAACTTCAACACCTTCTACATTATACTTAAAGCCTTCCTCAAATCTTTGCAACCTTTTTTCCGTCCTTCTTTTTCTTTGCAAACTCCCTTGCTTTCATAAAATTTTGCAATTTCAACTCATTGGCATCTGCGCACAGTATGGCTGACACATATTTAACTCTCAAAGCAGCAATCTGCCTCTTGTCACCTTTCCTCAGCCCACACTCCCATCCCTGTAATCCGTCACCTTTATAAGTTTCCATGTGGCACATGCAGAATATCCCGTAATCATGTATATTCCTCCCATCCTTCCACTTTATGTCCAATCTTTTTGGTGTCAAATTTGCAATGTTTACTGCCTTTGCGTCCGCATTTTTAAACTTTAGATACTGAATCAGCATAGCGAGCTACACATATTGTAAATCCCAATCACACATATATACAAACAATTCATCTACCATTTACAATATCTCAAATAATATATATAAATTCTCACCGTTGAATCAGGCATAGCTCCATATTTGTCCTTCATTCCCCTTCTTCTTGACCAGTTATCCAAAATGTCCATTCGTTTGGATTTTATGTTCACACATATCACATACATATGTTCATGTTGCACTACTGGAACAAATATCTGCACATTACAAGATATGAGTACATCCAACATAGAACTTGTAACATTAACACACGGTATGTAACACTCACCATGTCAATATCATTCAATGTCACATATTCGTTCATACAAATTAGTGCGTCATCGACTCCATCACTAAACAACTTGAAAGCTTCATTTGGGTCCACCTTCACAGCATCTTGTGTGTACAGCTGAATTGACATTGACAAATGCACTTTTTGAGAATGTGACTTACACATAATATCTACACAAAAGTAATGTACTTACACAGGGATATGGTCTGGTGAATAGTCTACAGGGTGAATCACTGCTACGCTTTCGTTCTTTGCTATTTAAAACCCTAGCCCAACATTCAATTACCATGTTGTCAATATGTCCATATTTATTACCTGTCAAAAGCTCTCTTATACAACACAACTCGATCAACATAGAATACCTGCACATTTAATCAATTACACTACTTTAATACGGAATATCAATAATTTTAAGCTTACACTTTAACGTATTATATAACTTACCAGCAAGAACACCAGTGGCCCTGTGAAGCTCTTGTCTTTGTTCTTCTCCCATGCCACTCTATTTTCAATCAAACTTGACATGGTGTACTCGCACCAATTCATGTTTTTCACTGCACTTTCATCCTCCAATTGGCTTATGATTTGATATTTTACATAACCATTTTGACAGCTATCGAGCAGGACTGATATCACTAGTACCAAAAAGTTCCTGATAAACCAGATTCCACCATCCGTACACCTGAGCATTGCCACACAAACCTCTGAAGGAGTTATTTGATGTTCTTTTTTCTGAAACATTGCTCTCCACTCATCCAAAATTTCACTTTTGCCATTTCTATTTTTCTTTACAATCACTTCTTTCCCCCTCGGAAAACCCAACACACATTCAACGTCCTCTTCTTTTATATGCACATTGCTTTTATCTGCAATGGTTAGTTTACAGTTCTTGGGGTTGAATGCATCCACAACCCAATATGCAAGTTTTGAAGGCAGCTCTGTTATTTGTAAGTGCAAGATGCTTCCAAAACCTATCTTTTCTACAACCTCCTTTTGCTTTTCACTCATTTCTTGAACGGCCCTTACTAGTACGCAAGGAGAAGATCTAGTTGTCAACGTCTTGAATCCTTCCTTTAGTATCCTTAATTTTCCTTTCTTTTTTTTGGTCACTTCCTCTCTGCCCTTACTCACATTTCCACCCTCTTTCTGCACAATTGGTTCTGGAGGCAATTCGAAATCATCATCACTATCGGTATTCTTCTCACCCACATTACATGTTTCATCTTCGTCTACTGTTGCACTTTCACACGATGCCAAATTCCCTTTTGTTTTCAATAACCTTGTACTTCGCCTACGCTTGCCTTTGTCACAACGCCTGACATGAATATAATGTGCATTCTTAGTGACCTGGACTCTTTCAATCCGCATTTCACCTGTCACACGCCAACAATTTTTCAAAGTTCGTCATGTTCTGCACAATCACCATCTATTCATGCATTTCTTATCATATAAACTTACCACCACAACACTTTTTTTTCGTTTCTCTAAATCTAGGTTTTCATACACTTCTATGTTAATTTACTGCACATTAGATCCATAAACATTATAAGTAAAACACATTTAACTCTTCCTGAAACCCATTAACCATATATAAATACATTTAGGTTGCTACAATACATAAAAATAAATTCTAATGCACGATTCTTACTCATTAATGCATTATACCATGGTTTCACCTAAAATGTACGATCTCCATCTCAAGATAACTCCTAAACACACATGCACTTCAGTTGTCAACTAATACATTTGAAATCAAGTCTTTTTGAAACCCATTAACTATAAATCATTACCTTTAGTTCTCTACAATACTGAACACGAAACACTTCTCATACACAATTGTTACTCATTAATGCACTGTACAATTAATTCAACTAGACTCTAAAATCTGCAACTCCAGATAACTCCCAAACACACATGCATTTCAACCGTCATCTAATGCATTCGAAAAAAAATAGGAAACCGTAAACACAAATTTCTTCCCAGCGCCGTCAAACTACAACAACTCACCTTCCATGGCTGACACGGCTGCCACATTTTCGTTCCTCATCAAGTGTTCTTCTTGGAGAGCACTCATCTTCACCCTTGTACTGCACTTGTTTCGTAGTTTCGTCTAATATCAGTCGACGGGGAGGTGTGAGTGCACAATAAAGGTAAGAGATTCCTAATTTGAAATTTTTTAATTTTTCAATTTCAGTTACTGCCATTAGTGGGTTCGTAGATTTAGCAGATTTCTCGGGAAGTGGAAGCCGGAAGACCGAATTCCCATAAATGTTACTTCCTAAAAGTACAATCTTACCCTTTCAACTCCATCTGTATGCTTCTTTTTTTATGTGAGATGTCATCTCATGTGCACGTGTGCAGTTTAATCTAGCATGCTCCGTACCATTCCATCCGTACGTTCCAAAAGATAAGCGTCTATGATGACTTCTCACTTCCTACGATA